AAACAAAAAATATATAATGATGCTTTTTACTTGGTGATTATGACTCAAAGATGATTATGACTTCTAAGATTGTAAGGAGGTTATTGCTAGGTATTTACCAAGATTTTTAAATCAATTTACTCAACAGATTTTATTTCCAAGGAGACTTTTATGTGAGTTGATTGTAAAAAAGATTAAAATGCTAAAGTCAATGATAATAAAGTTTCAATATCAAGTTATATTTCTGTATAAATTTAAATATCTATAACTAGTTTGTATATATGTGATGTGTGGGGAACTATGGCCATAGACCACCCACTCAGATATTGTGGTGCAGCGATGACATTCTCAATACAGAAGTACTGGAGACAATTATGGTGAACTTGTCCGTTTATTGATAACCAAGCTCAAGCTTATATAGGAAGGGTCCTGGGGAAAGCCTTAGGATAATAACAACATTTCTATTGGATATAAGCATCTATTACATATCATAAACCTAGCCAATCAGTACAACTGCACATTTTAAGATGTAGGAGTAACATGTAAAATAAATAAGCATTTTTGAATATATTACATAGAGAAGGTATGATAAATGGCAAATTATGAACAATTTTAGTTAAAATTGGACTGTAGGATGTGGACAACATATCCCCAACAACTGTCTACAAAAATTTCACCTCCATTCTGGTGATATGTGATGCAGACTTTGGGAAAACTCACCCCATTGCCTAACTAGGACTTTTATATCTGTCTTGTTCATGATCTTTACCTTCACTAAACTGCTGCAAGATGATATATTTATGGATAGTCTAGAATCTTTCAATACACCCCCAGTTTTTCTTTCTCCTTATATGACAGTTTCCTCATGGAAAGATATTCTAAATAGTAATTTGAATAATAATTCTGAAATGTGTATCTACATATTAATCCTGATGGGTGAATATGGGTGTATTTATCACAGTTGTCAAGCATTTATGGAACACTCATTGTGATGTGTTAGCTGAGGTTCACAACTTTTCTGAAAGGCAAGTCAAGTCATTGAGAGTCAGTAATGGATGTCTGCTCTCAGATTGTGGATATTTATCTGCAGAACAATAATTAAGGTTTCTATGATCTATAGCTACTATGTGTCAGTATTTAAGTGTTAAGCATAATAGAAACCCTCACACAAACTATGGGATAGATGTTACTATGCTTATTTCATGAGGAGGAAAGTGATATCAACAACGTTAAATGATTTACTTAGAACCCCGTATCAGAAATATGGCAAAGTTGCGGGTTTGGACCAAGAAATTGACTGTAGAATTTGCACCCAATTCCATTCTAATGACCCAAGTTACCCTGTGGCCAAAGTAAGAATGGAGTCTCCAAACCATACAGTTAAAATTCTTGCTAAAGTCTGAAAGTTTGTGCATTTTAACTAGATGTTAAATATTTTAAAAAGCTCAGTCACTTGCATTATTGAGCTCAATTCATAGAAACCTCAGATCTTTTCTTCTGTGAAACTGCTAGGATCTTTCAAAACTATGTACATTAATTTCTATGTATCTGTATGACTCTGTTCCAACAAATGGGAATTGGCTCAGTGTGTAGTCTCACAGTAAGGAACCAACCCTCACATTCATCGCTAGTTATCTAGTTTGCTTAGAACAAGAAACTCCACTTTTCACATTTTTGGCATTTTCATAGTTGAAACAGCATATAAATAGTGTGCAACCAACCCAAACACATACACTGCATTTGTTGTCTGCTCTATTGAATCGATGTTGGCTGTGTTTCTGTTGGAACTAGTGTTATCATAATGTACTTCGCATGAGCTGAGATAGAAAGAACCTTGAAGATGGTACAGGACAGATAGGAGGTATTGAGTTTAGTTTAGTTCAGTTCTTTTTCCCCCAAATAATGCACCATTCCTTGAATTATAATTAATGACCCTTCTTTATTCATCTTTAAGTTTCTAGGGACTTCATTTGGTTTATTTTTGTCATTACTACTTCTGGTACTCTGCTTTTTCAGTTCCATCACTCTAAAGCACGAGTTTGTATTGATGGAATCCCTCAAACAATATGACTCACCAATGCTGCTAAATCTGTTTTACAAACATGTGTTCACTTTATAAAAATAATTACTTTAATAAAAAAGAATGTGACTCTAATGAAATCCTCCCATAACAAAATCCTTTCATATCAACTATAATGCAGATAAATCTGTTGTGAGCAGTCTGCAGACAATTCCACACTGATTCAGCGTGTGAAAACAGAGCTTCAAGTGGCAGTTTTAACTACTGACTTGGAAGTATCCATTAGTACAACGATGTTACCTGGTTACAAAGCAACATTATAAATGTATTTCGATGATTTGATGCTTATGATATAGTGGCTCATGTTTTTATTGCTTTTAATGATCATTGCTGGGGGAGGGAAACACAGCAAAATCGTCACCTGGCTTTTGTAGTGAGTTCTGATTATTTTAAAGAAAATATTTTATCTGGACAGACAGTATTAAAGGTCAAACTAGTCTTTCATAAGCTGAAATGCTGTGTACAGAGTAGCAAGGAACTGTTAGAGCTTTTGAAGTTTTGCTTGTTTTGTAGAATGTGCCAATGAGTATTTAATCTGCTATAACAAAACACCATATACTGAGTGACTTATCAGCAACAGAGATTTATTTTTCACAATTGTGGTAGCTAGGAAGAGCAAGGTTGAAGTGCGAGGAGCTTGGGTGTCCTAGGAGGATCCCCATCCTGTTGTTCTCAGCCACTATGACCTCGTGTCATTAAAGGAACGTGAGATCACGCAGGTGTTTCCTTTAAAGTCATTAATATCATTCAGAAGACTGTTCTGACAGTCACCTCTCCAAGTCCTCACGTGCAAGCACCATCGCCTGGGAAGTTAGGGTTTATTATGTGAATGGGGAGAGATCTTGATGTTTCAACCATTATGTAATCTTAAATTTCCTAGTGTGTGTGAGTTAGTTCCCTAGTAGTAAAATACACATCATTATTCCTGTATATGTTCAAGAAATACATGAATGATATTTCTAATAGGATTATATTTACTTCAAAGAATTATTATCTAGCTAAATCATCAACAAGTAAAGCATTATTCTCAATTTAGTCTCCTTCATTATTCAATCAATTACCAAGGATAATTTTTTATTTTATATTTAATATCTCACTTTGCAAGCATACCTTGCGTTTATTATCCCCATTGTATGCCTTCTGGCTTCATTTTGTCAGAGTTATTTAGTCATGAATGTAGGAGCCAAAAGAGTAGTTTAAATATTTAAAATAAAATTCCTGGAAAGGAATAGTGTGTGATACAGTCCTAGAATAGTGGAAATCAGGTGCCTTAAATGAGTGCAGTATAAAATGCATTCGATAAATGTGTGCAAGTCTATTAGGCTAATGTCAAAACACATTACATATTCTGATATGAATGGATCAAAAAGATAATAATGAAAGCTTTGTGGACATTTCTTAACAGCACAAAATTATTTGGGAGGACATAAAACGCTTTATTTCCAAGCAGTAATTTTACATTTTGATCTTTTAAGTCTTGAAGGGCTATATAGTATCAATTTTTCTCGTTCTAGAAATTTTCAATTTGATCTAGTCAAACAGAGGGCACTGTTTAGGAAAGAGGGCAAAAATACCATAAATTCCACTTGCGGGTTGATTTCAGAAAACGCTAATACATGCAGTGTCACCCAACTGCTGACTGATGGAGCTATTGAAAGCATTATCTCCATGGGCTGTGTTTAATGGGCATTTGTGTGGAGCTTGGCTCTTGATGTTTTTGGAGCAATCTTCTCTTTACACTACACTGGGTATACGGTTCATTATTTTTTGACCTGCTTGATTTATGTGTCTGTTTTCTACAGCTTTTGTTTTGATATCAGAAACCATTAATCCATCAGAGCCCTGAAGTTGTAATGTTAACTGCCAGCAGCATTGATTTGCAATTGGCATAAGAGTGTGACTCAGCCATTTTGTAATCATTTAATTCCGTTTTTGAATGGTTACTTCCGTCACTGAAATGGTCAAATATAGAATTTTCCATAACGCCATCAAAAGTAGCTTCCCTTTAATCTAATCTCATATAGTTTATTGAGCTAATTTCCTTGGTTTTATATAATGGTTTTAGCAAAGGATATTATTTAATAATTCATAGTTTTGCTACTACTGAAGTGCAATTAATTAACTGTTTCTTCTATGGATTATAGTATTCTTACAAATTGTGTAGATACAATATGATACATATGTATGTGTGCATATGCATATACATAAGTTTATGTCTGCATGCATGCTGTGGGTGAGAACCAACTATTCAGTTGGCAACAAATTTTATTCTTCAATCTTCCTGTATGTTTTATGAAGACAGCATATTTAAGGATATCTTGTGGGTCACTATTAAATTATGTATTTCACTTGGTGATTCTTATAATGGCTACTACTATCATAAGAACACTTTTAAAAATCAGAATTTTAAGACAGCTGAGGTAAAATAATTAATAAAATTGCTGTAATTCTTCAACCTCAACAAAGTTTGTGGTGGTACATTTGGCAGTATTAAGCCATGAGTAAAATATCTTTCTAAAATTATAGATTGGTACATTTGTTTGAAATGAATGTGTGGGAAAGATTACATTAAATGGTTACTGAGAAGAAAATGATTAGGAATAGGTGGGTCAGTCCAAGTATTTGCTAGTTATCTATTTAGACACCTGCACACCTCACTAGTGAAAGTTTGTGAACGAATATTAAGTATGAGAAAAATTATCAAACTTTTAGCTCATGTGCAGGCAATTCATTCATCTTCATATAACTTTAGCAAAGGAAAGGCCAATATATACAGTTTGCTCCACTCCCTACTCCTAGGTTTTCTCTCATTTTGAAAATAACCCAGTGTTCTGGTGACACTTAAAGAAATGAAGCATTTGCAACTGAATGTTAACAGACTCCTTTATGGACTATGAAAAATGCAGGCATTAACTATCGCTGGAGACTTGATGTTTTTCAGGGAATGATGTACCTGGAAGAACGACGACTTGTTCATCGAGATTTGGCAGCCCGAAATGTCTTAGTGAAATCTCCAAACCACGTGAAAATCACAGATTTTGGACTGGCCAGACTCCTGGAAGGAGATGAAAAAGAGTATAATGCTGATGGAGGAAAGGTAAGTATCTTTTTTAGAACACTGTAGCTATCTCTTAGTATTTTATCAGAAAAACCATTGATCCTGAGCTTTGGATTATAAAGTCTTCTTAACGCATACATTTCCTTAATGCCCATGATTTGTGTGTGTGTGTGTGTGTATACACACAACCAGCTCCCATTTCTCAAATTAACTGAAATAAAGCAATGCCTGTCTAGATCCAAATGGTCTTCATGTTAAATTCAAAAAGCTTATGTGGGTGATTCGCCAGGAACCCCAGAAATTAAACTTTCACACAGAACTATAGAGCTTGTGCCATTCATCTTTAGGGAAGAGGGCTAATTCTTATAGACAGATGTAACTTTGCATGCATAGACTGGAGAGAAATTCAGCTACCAAAAATTGCCTTAATTCCTTGGAATATTGATAAACCTAGTGAACTTTTAATCCTGCTATACCAGATACAGTAGATTACATTTTTGTTGTTTTTTTTTAACTCCATTTCCCCCCCATGTCTTCTATCATGGTGCATGTTTTACTCAAGTTATTTTCTATCTGACTTTCTCTAGTAGAACATCATATGTTATACTGTGGGGAATCTGAAAAATGCCACTAAATCTCAGAATCCACCTGATAATTATGTCCCTACCTCACCTAACCCGCTATGTAGCCTCAGTTCAAGTGTTAAATTTTGTATTTCCTCTTCAAGTTGCTGTTGAACTTGACATCCTTTATTCTTTGCTTTTAAAGATTTATTTACGTACTTGCTGGAAAAGGAAAGATAGTCTTTCATATGGTAGTTCGTTTCCTAAATTGCCGCAGTAACTAGGTCTGGTCAAAGTGATGGTGGGATCCAGGAATGAGTAGCAGGTACCATGTACTTGGACCATCATCTCTTGCCCTCTCAGGCTCAAGAAACAAGAAGCTGGGTGAGAAGCAAGTTAGGACTGGAACTGGCACTCAGATACGGCAAGACTGTGTGGCAAGAAAAACTTGACTGCTTTACTACCTGCAAAATTGGCCATTCTTTTCTAGTCAGTAAGGATAGCCCTTACACAGATAATTCCTATAGTCTATTAGGGAATCCTATGTCACAATAGAGCAAATAAAATACCCAAAAGTAACCTTTATCTACGGTGACTTGCAAATTTACACAAGCACAAACATTGCTCACATGACATATAAGTGTTTATTGTGATTCTTACTTACCATGGGTTGACCAAATGTATATTGTAAATATTTTACAATGTTAAGCTTTCACATGCTTAATACCGATGGCATCCTAAACTCTTGTATATCTGCATAGCACACAGTTAAAAAAAGAAACTTCAATTTTCTGGAATTGTTTGATTTTTTTCCTTCATTTTATTACCCTATTTTGCTTATCTACTGTAAAATTTCAGGAATTTGAGGCTAAGGCTTTGAAATTCACTGCAAGATTGTGCAGAAGTCTATAAATTACAAGACTTCACTTGTCCTGAGAACATGCAGCTGTAGGATTTGTCTAAAGCAAGATTCATTACAGCATTAAATGCTTGGTAACCATTAAGTCTTTATCTAGCCACCTGCGATTTAAACGTACTGCTTCACACATAGTCCTTAAAGTCAGCTAGCTCCTTGCCCATAGGGAAATTATTTTCAATGTGTCTTCTGTTCCCTTTCACTGAATACCATGATTTTGTCACACAGTTACCTTGGTGTCACCTTGGTGAGCAGCCAACCTCATGATTTCAAAGGCCTATTTAGTTTTCAGCTTTCAACTGCAAAGTAGATGTGTTTATCTTTATTCTGTAGAACCTAATTATATTCCCAGCTCTGTCCTTCGCAGTTGAAATGCATTCTGCTGACCCATCATAAGCAGGGTACATGGTTAAGTTGTTTTTCTTGTAGTGATGATAACTTCGTGCTGATTGTCTCACACTGTTTGATATAGTTTCTATTCTGACAATGGTGCATATTTTCGGTTCTGGCTAGCCAAGACAAGGGAGGTCATTTGTAGCTGGGGAACAAAATAAAGCTACCTTTGGAATTCATGATTTTAAGCAATTTAACGAACAAATTATATTAAGAGGAGAAAGAGAAGATCCAAGTCTGGAATCAGTCTGTTATGTAAGTTTCCCAAAATGTGTCTAAGGGTGAAAGTGTTAACTAAAAATGTGAAGAACATTATTTTCTTTTGAGAAAAAGAAGCATTAGGGACACAGTTTAAGAAGAGTGCAAATCAGATATTTAAATTTTATGTTTTGGTTCAGAACATTGAATAGTTACTTGATTATTGAATGTTGAAATATATAGAAAATTATTCTTATTTCATTACTTTTCATAGTTTATAAAGCTTTTGTTTTAAAAATGGCATGTCTGAGAGTTAATTCCCCTGAATTCATACAATTCAACTAATTTTCTCCTTATATTTAAAAATACCTTATATATACATATATATGTATGTATTAACACATACATATGAGAGTATATCAAATAATTCACGGAAATGTAATTAAGCATTATATTTATTTTGGTGAAAAAAAATTTGCGAAAGCCATGCAGTTTTTTCATACTATAATTTTCTGTGAACTACTTGAAAGCTCCTTCTATGAATGGACTTAAAAATCTTTTGCACCTAAATAAGCTTATCTTCTAATTTGATTTCCACAAACTGTTTGAAATATTTCCGCATTTATATCTATATATGTAATAACACCTGTAATTGAAGTAAGCTAGGACACTGACATTGGGAAATAACTATGGAAATTATTTTATGTATTGCAAAACTTTTACTCTTGAATAGATGCCAATCAAATGGATGGCTTTGGAGTGTATACATTATAGGAAATTCACACACCAGAGTGATGTTTGGAGCTATGGTAAGTAAAGCTTCCTTGTGAACTAGAGCTTTTAAAGTATGGCAATGTAAAATATCTTTAATCAAATTATTTTATTGTATTAGAGAAATCTTTTTGTAAGAACCATATCCTAAAGGCATTTTCTCTTTATACTGTTATTTTTAAACATACTCTAGCATCTGACTTTTCTGTAATTTCATGATTCAGTAAAATGTAATACACTGATGTCTCTACTCATGTGCTATAAGCGCTGGCCTGGTAGTAACTTGTGGTATTAGGATTTAGAGGTACAGTACAATTCATTTTATTGAAATACAAGTTTTGATTCACCTTTTTAGTTCTAAAATCATTTAAGATAGTCTAGTAAAGTGGGTTTTTCTGCCCAAGTAAATGCCTTAGGAGGCATTAAAATTTTGGTGAAAGTTACACAGCATTCAACTTAAATAATAGCAGCAAATATTGTTTGAGGTTTAGATCAATATTGTTTGAGGAGGAATACTTGGCAAAGCTAATTGTTAAATTAGTATAGAAAGTAAATATACGTTACATGATATGTGGAATATATAGCTACAGATATCGTAGGTATTGCATGATACAGAGAAAATAAACATAATACATGATACTATCTGGGTTATATTGTTTGTGTATTACATGATAAAGGTAAGCAAAATATATTATATGATGTAGATACTATATGATGGATTTATATATTTCAATATCACATATTGTGCATTAAGTGTTTTTCCTTTTTCTTTTCTTTTTCTACATAATTTCCATCCATTAGATGTGGCAATCTATTGTAGGAAAACTTATTTGGAAACATTTAGTTATCTGAAAGAGTGACAGAAAGACAGACAGAGAATCTTCCATCTGCAGAAACACTCCTGACATTGCTCTAATGGCTAAGGCAAGCCCACGCTGAGGCCAGGATTCAGGAGTTTCCGGAGCTTCCCATCTGGGTGGCAGGGGCCTAAACACTTGGAGCACGTTCTGTAGCTTTTTCTGTGCCATCAGCAGGGAGCTGAGTTGGAAACGCAACAGCAGGGACTTGGATCTGTGCCATTAGAGACGGACGGCATCACCGTAGCTGTACTGCTCCAACATGCCAACCTCTGTAGGCAGATGTGGAGTGTCCTTAAAGCAAGTGGACAAAAGAGTCATATTTTTTAACAATAGTGTCTGCCTTCTGGAGAAAATCCCTGTTAAACAGAGTATTACACTTCCCCCATATTGATTGAGAAAATCCCAGGACTATTCAGTGAAGATAGAGGTTACATGATGATCTTGATATAGAGGTACATGAGTGAGAGAGACAGAGAGAGAGAGAAAGAGAGAGAGAACATTCTGTTTTGATACATAACCCAGGTTATCAACAAGTTTTCATAAAATGTCATAAGATTTTTAGGATGTATCGTATTTGATAGCAAAAGTACTACAAGTCAGAGAAATACACCTTTTTAGGGTGTACCATTATGAAAAATTACCATGGGGGTGCATCTTTATGTTTATAAAATTTTGTATACATATATATATCTTTAAATTATTGGATTGCAAAATAAGTTTTAAGGTTTTTTTTTCTGATTTTGTACTTTCATCTGAAAATATTCCTGTTTAGCCATACCTTATCATCCCCACAAAGATATTAATTGATTGTTATCTAAAGAAATTGTGATTTTGATGTTTCAACTTAGTTCTTTATTTATATACCTCCATTTGCAATGTTTTCTATTAGTTTTTATTTTAATTGCTGGATCTGAGAGTTATACTGGAAGTTCATACAGATGCGCACACATTTTTTCTTTCATAACTGCCTAATCAAATAAAAATATTCTTGTAAAATATATACTCTAAGATGGTGAACTAACTAGAAAATAAGTAATTCACTTCCTCAGTTCCAGCTTGCCTTGTGAACAATTGGTTTAATCATTGGCTCTAATGAAGTTCCCTGTTTAATATGAAGAACTAAGGATTTAACAAAGTTCAGAGAGTTAAAATGCACCACTAGTTACATGTTTATATTATGTTTAAGAACTGTAAGATATAAACATTAACAAAAATTCATAAAATATGCAAATTACTTTATGTCTTATATTTTATCAGCAGAAAGTGATACATATTGTTATAAACAAAAGAAGCATTTATTTTTTATAAAGTCTATTGGAAACTGCAGTTGAAAAGAAAGCATTACTCTAAATTAATGCATTTTATGTTAAAATACACTTTGTAATATTATCATGCTCACCTGGTTATTTCTGAACCTAAATAGTTTTATTTCTAAGAAAAATATAATTTTTAACTATGTAATTATTATACTGTAGAGAAGAGGTATGAAAACTGTCTGTTGCATCTAGCATTTAAGGAATTTGCCTTTTCAGAGGAAGCCAGTGTTGTTATAATTCAAGGAAATAATGTCATTATCTTAGGGATAAATTGGTCTTGATTCCCTTATATTTTGCAACTGTCCACCTGACATACACTATGTTATATGTGGATTGCTATTTACCCAACATCCTATATGCACTACAGAAATAAATCTATTTTATTCCACTTAATTTTATCGTCAGTTGAAAAGAACTACAGTTCTTTACCCTATCTTATAAGTATACAATCATTCAGGTACCTCAGTTTTACCCTTTAGGGCTTTTATTGTAGAGTGACTAGTTTCAAATTTAGTATCATATTTATCGGCAATTACATTTATTTGTTATAGACCATATGTATGATAAGCTAATTGTTTGGGGCTATAAAATGGTATAGTAAAACATAGCTTGGATAAGCAAACAGCATTATTTGTAAATAGGAATGGGGAGCATATTCTATATTTTGATGCATAATTTAAATTGTTTGTGCTATTCATTAAAGTGCATGGACATTAGCAAGTGAATTCTCCGCAAAGATGCTGGTACTGGGATGGCCATCTGGATATATGAATCTGAAAACCCATTCACCTCTCTCTTCTAATTGATTTTTATAAAGCCCTGTGTTTTATCAAAGGCCTGTAGCTGATTTGTGCAAGTATATTGGTTCTATGCTTATGTAAGAATTTCATCTCTGTAGGAGTAACTATATGGGAACTGATGACCTTTGGAGGAAAACCTTACGATGGAATTCCAACCCGCGAGATTCCTGACTTGTTAGAGAAGGGGGAACGTTTGCCCCAGCCTCCCATCTGCACTATTGACGTCTACATGGTCATGGTCAAATGTAAGACTGCAACATGCGTTTATTAGCATCTTCGTCATCCTTAGTAAAGAATTATACCTATTACTCTACTTGCAGACTGCATCACTGGCTTGAGAAATGCAGCAGTTCAAAAACAATCATAAAACGAGCTTGTAAATACTCGTGTTGTGATCATTAATGCACAACATGGCATGGCTCAGTGCTGTGGTATCAAAATTATATGACTCTTACACTTATAATTTCTACGACAATGAAGTTTTCTTGAAGTAGTCACAATAAGTTTAGTAATAACATTAATGTTAATAATGTTAATGGGAAATGTTTAAATAAATAATTTAAACATAAAGAAAACTTAAAACAGCTTTAGTAAAAATGAATCAGATGGAAATAGATTTAGCAGTCTTACTCCAAAGACAGCAAAGGTAGAAAACTGGGCTTCTGCATTGAACAAAAAAGGTTATGAGTGCTTCCTTCTTTTGTTTCAATTTGATCATTTGTTTACATCAAACTGTCTTACTTTTCATTCCCCTTCCTAGGCCCCAGACACATCTGCACGACAAATGTGTTTTAGAAGCCTAGACCCTTAATTTAAATAGAATTAAGGAAGTCTCTGGGGTTTCTGACTTAATTTAAGTAAGATTAACACACAGCAGTCTCTCTGTATAATCTGGGGTTTTCCCCTTTTGATTTACACAGGTTTAGCAGAGAAACAAACTGGTGAAGGTGAATAAGCATCTTATTAATAAGAGACTTTGGACCCAGGTCTACCCAGATTTATATTCATGACATGTGTGATGCATTCTGACAGTGAGGAAAGAAATAAAACATGTTCTTTGCAGTTCAGGTCAGCATGCCCTTTTCTTAAAACCATAGTTCTATTTACTCAATATTTAGTTAGAGAAAAACCAATACTCACCGCAAAGTTAACCTTTTTTGTCTCCGATAGTTCCAGAAATGCCTACTTTCTCATTAGCATCTTGACATTAGCAAGCATTTTAAAGAAATGGCTGCATGTAGAATATAGACCTTAGAGCTTTCTAAGAAAAAAAAAAGCAGCTGGCAGTAATGATACACAAACTTATAGCAAAGATTCCTAGATGTGGAATTAAAATTGAACTCCTAGAAAAAATGGAGACAAAATTATTAGCTTTATTTGTTCAAAATTGCTGGGTAGACATCTATAGACTAAAATTTAGGAATGTGTGTATTCTGTGGTTTTTTCACATAGCTGGAATAGGAAATGATATAAAATACTGTAAAAATATGGTAAAATCAGGAACAGATGTACCTAATAGAGATTTTTACTCCTTTGTTTTTTGAGAGTTAAAACTTAAGAATAATGAATTATTCAGCAAGAAAATCAAGGGAACCTTGATACCTTCATTTGTATTATCACCTCAGTGTTAGAAACATAACCAGGGGAGGTAAGACTCATTTGATCTAGGCACCTAGTAAAATAATACATAGCTTAAAATTTTCTGATAGCAATTTTATGCTGGAAAGACTGGTACTAAGATAAGTTAATGGCTACTGCTAAACGAACATTATCAGTTCCTTGGCCTTATTATTTATTTTCCACCAGGAAAAGGCTGAGTGAGGAATTTGTTCTCCCTTCCTGCCTTTCCTCTTTGTATTACCATATATTATTGGAACCAAATCATTTTTTTCATACCACTCTTGTCAAAAATGATGAGTAATATTCTAATCAACACATCTATAAAAGGAAAGTGATTTTAATTATCTTTATATTAAAGGAAAATATCTTAGATCATATAATTTCCCAGAATTTCTCTGAGCTTCATTTTCTAGCAAGAAAAACAAATGCTGAGTCACATCAACAAAATAGGAATTGAATGTAATTTTATAACATAGTACATGGCATTAAAAAAATCAGCAGAGTAATCTTATCTACCAAATTCTTTCTTTTGTTTATTTTTCAATTAAGATTATGAAAACACTGTTTTTTCATACTTCCCTTTTCCTATTTGTACATATAGTAACGTGTGTATTCTGTGTGAATGCCCAGGCTGGATGATTGATGCTGACAGCAGACCGAAATTCAAGGAACTGGCTGCTGAATTCTCAAGGATGGCCCGAGACCCTCAGCGATACTTAGTTATACAGGTTAGTACATGTCACTTGCTTTTAAGACCACCCCCATGGCCAGTCTGCTCTTAAGTAGGAACAGCACCTAGACTTTGGAACAGTAGACGTGGTCACTAACATTGATTAAACAGATCATCAAGTGAAATAGCTTAAAGAGAGCTTTTAGCTTCATAGAAAACCACCCTGGAGCACCTTCTCTTACTAGTCAAGTGGCTCTGCTATTGAATAGCTAAATAATTATGATTCTACATGAATACATAAGGTCTTTATTTTCAGACCAGCCTTGAGGAACTACTTTTTATTAACGTTATGTGTAGTTCATGTTCATTATTATTATAATATTCTCTTTCAGAATCAGATGAAGGATTTTCACCTTCATCTTGTCAGTGCCTATAGAAAATGAATCAGATCTTTCAGACTATTAAATTTTAGTTTTTATAAAAAAATATTTTGAAATGTTTTCTTTCATTTGGGGACGTATGCAGAATCTAAGCAATGCTTTATTCAAATGAACTAATGCATAGATAAACCAGACAACAGGAGAAAGAGTATAGTATGTGTAACAGAAGGAAAATAGACGGAATAATTAAAAATCAGCACATATATATGATTATTTTCACCAAAACAATGATTACATGGATGTTAGAGATGCTGAATTACGTTCTTTTCAGTAAAATGAATTTTTTTCTTCATTTTAATAGAGTGATATATTAACCTTGTTGAACTAAAATTATTTATAAAATATGCTATAAATATGGACAACTTAAAAACTAATAAAAAATAGAGGGTGAAACTATAGCAATTGTTGGATCTCACAGCCGTTTATCCTGTTCTCCAGCTGTTTGGTTTGTGAATGCCACCAGTTTGACAAGGTAGCCATCGAGCTTTGGAGCATATCATGAAGCGCAAGCATCCCAACAACTTTATAACATCAAAACAATCAAAGTGGATGAATTGATTACATTTGTCATTTGTCCCTAAAGTCATCCCACCTAGTCAGTGAGCCATTATTCTCAGATATGAACTTTTAGACTCCTCAAAATGTCCACATTCTTCTTCTTTATCCTTCTCTAAATTCATTTATCACATTTGTCTGGTGGAAATATTGTATCTTGCCCATCCATGTCCAAGGATACTATAGGATTCTTTATGTCTGATGTTTATTTTTTAAAATGTGCTTTTGAAATGTGTATGTGAACAGTTCAATAGAGTTTTGATAACTGCTTTAATTTACTGCAGAGGTCACATATTTAGATGAACGGAAGAATCATATTTTGAGTGTCTGGTGGATAATCTTTCAGGGCGATGATCGCATGAAGCTTCCCAGTCCCAATGACAGCAAGTTCTTTCAGAACCTCCTGGATGAAGAAGACCTAGAAGATATGATGGATGCTGAGGAATATCTGGTCCCTCAGGCTTTTAACATCCCACCTCCCATCTATACTTCCAGAGCAAGAATTGACTCAAATAGGGTAAGAAATCTGTGTGTGTGTGTGTTATTGTTTCTGGGAAATCCTGGATGAGATGTGAGGTGCTAAAATAGCACTCATGTAGTTGTAGATTAAAAACTATATCTACTAAATCTTCCAAAATATAGTCAGTTTTGGAAGACAAACATAAATAATCTAATGTATATCTTAAAATGTTTTCAAGAGTCTGTAGGGACAAATATTTTCTTCAGGTTAGTTAAAATAAATCCTAATATTATAAAAACAACTCAAATAAAACTGGATGTCTATCTAAATAATTGAAACATCATAGTAAATAGTCTTGCCAGCTTGCTTTCTTAAAAAGATGGTTTAGAGGTAATGCAAGTACAACTGTGTTCAAATATTTTAGGAACTAGTAAATATTTCCTGTCAACCTGAAGCAGAAACAGAAAATTTTGCACTCTTTTGAACTGAATCAATCACATTGAAAGACCCACATTTGAGATTTATGTTTTCAAAGAAAGTTGAAATTTACATTCCTAAATTTGAGATTTATGTTTTCAAAGAAAGCTCTCAAACAAATTTCTTTGAAAATATTAACCCATCCAATATTGAATATCCTCGTTGTACTGAAAGTTGGCAAACACATACATTTGTCCCTTTATTTGTAGACGTTCATGCATCATTGATTTGGCATGGATTGAGTACTTCCACTTCCCAAAATATTGGTACACAACTGAGACTAAAAGAAGCTTGACAAGCTCTTTTATCCCAGTGTCCAAGCTAATGAAAACATGTGTACAGATAGAGACAAAGCACAGCAAGCTAAGTGCTGTAATCAGATGTTCATTGGCCATCATGGAGCATCAAAAGTAGGAAGTTTGTAATCAGTTTCTTCTATTTATAAGATATAAACATGATACTTACTTTTCTCTGGAAAACAATCTCTTTCGCTTACTTGACTCTCCGTTAAAGAGCATTGCCATAGCTAGCAGAACAAGCGGTGTTCTTCTTCTTTTGAGCACAGGCATAAGGAAAACTTCAGCTTTCTCATTCTCTAAAACAAAGTTATATTCTGAAACTTTATTCATAATCTCAGAAATAAAAAGGTAATATTCAGCCACAGTTTACTATTAAACATGTATGTATTAATTCTCTGAGTTCTTCCAACTATTCTAGAAGGCTCTATTATTATTATTCCAATCTTATAGATGAGAAAAATATAAAAATTAGGTGATTTGACTGGTGTAATCCAGCTAGCCAGTGAAGAACAGGAATTTATTGGAAGCTGTCTCTAAGTTGCTGGAACGTGTCATTTTTATGATATACTCTGCTTCTTGACAACAACCTTGCCATCTGTGATTGGCCTTCTTTGGGGAATTCCTCAGTGATTTTCTTATAAAATAAATTACTCAGCCAATTCACATCTTTTTACCTATCTACCTCCATGTACAAGGTCTGATATAGAAAGATGAAAAGATGAAAACCTCAATTAATTTTATTTTCTATGGAAGGCATATCCTCGCAGTCTAGACTGAAAGTTTTCCCATAAGCTCAGTGAAGAGATCAGAGGTTTAGAAATTGCCTCAACTGTTGCAATAAGATTACCAGTCTCATTTGTGGAAAGGATGGAAGTATTTAAGATATGTAAATTGGATGCATCCCCCACTACACCTACCATGCAAAAAGTTAAAGTTACATGTTTATATTTGTAATTTTAAATGTAAAATTCATGAGATATTAAAAAACAAATCTTGTTTAATTTGCATTGTCATAAAGGCCAGAAGTGTTGATGTTTTAATGTTGATTCACATGTTCCAAACTTTTCTTCATTTTAATTGGGATAAAGCTATGAGTTAAAGAAATTGAATTATTGAGATAAAGCAGAAGTCGTGGGAGAAGTAATTTGGCCTTTTAAAAGTTTATGTATTTGTTTTTATTTTGCTATTTTGTGATACAGTTTCATAGGCTCTGGGTTTCCCTTCTCAACACTCTCTCCCGATTCCCTCTATATTATTCCAGCAGCATAGTCCTGCACAGACAGTCATAAGTCCATCATTCTGCTACTTAAATGTATTATGACATTGTTTAAAAGGCATAACTGCAGAGAGAGAGAGAGAAAATCTATCCACTGGTTCATGATTCATTCTCCAAAAGGCCTCAATGGCTGGAATTGAGCGAATCCAAGGCCAAGAGCACAAACCCCCTCTAGGTCTCCCAGGCCTGTGTGTTGGGGAGGGTGGGGAGCTGGATCAGAGGTGAGTAGCCAGAACACAAACTGATGCCCATTTGGAATTACTGGCACTGTAGATGGAAGATTAGCTTGCTACACCACCTTACCAACCCCCTAATTTGACCTTTTAGGAATCACTTCTTATCCCCCATTATTGTTTAAACAATGTCATCTGTAAATTTGTTTATACATTTTTAGTCTTTGGGAAGGAAATTGTCCCTAAATATAATAAATAAATAACTAAGTATAATATTATTTTCAGGCATGAAAAAAGCCTTTTTAGTCATCCATATTGCCCTATTTTTTTCTGGCTTTTTGGGACCTTTAAAGATTCTTCTTTTTTTTTTTTAATTGAAAAATCAGATTTACAGACAGAGAGATAAAAATATCTTCCATCCAATTGTTCACTCCCCAAGTGGCTGCAACAGCCAGAGCAGAGCTGATCTGAAGCCACAATCCTGGGCCCTCCTCTGGTTCTCCCAGCAGAGGATCCCAACGCTTTTGGTTTGTGTTTAACTGTTTTCCCAGGCCACCAACAAAGAGCTGGATGGGAAGTGAAGCAGCTGGGATTAGAATCAGCTGCTGGACACATGCATGGCAAGAACTTTAGCCACTAGGCTGCCGTCCCAGACCCAGTTTATGGAACCTTTGTGGAAATTTCTAATATATACAAATCTATTTTATAAATTACTTCAATTTAAGATTCTGTGACCAAATTTTTTGCTAAGTCAAAATCTTAAGGTGACGTTTGACTAAGTATTTCTTAATCATACTTTAATGGACTTTGAAACCAAACATTAATTCATTTTTAAATATAGATGTCACTGCTCACTAGCCAAGAAACTTGTGGTAATTTTCTATATATGATGACAATATTGCTCTCTCATTTTTGAAAAAGGCACAATAATACATATGTAAGAGTTAAGCAATGAATTAAAAAAAAAATTATAGGAGCAGTGGGTTCAGCCATTGGCTGTGAATCCTGTGTCACAGCCCCAGTTTGTAAGTCTGACTATTGCACATCTATCCAGCTGTCTGCTAATACACTTGAAAAGAGAGCAGCGGATGGCCCAGGTACTTCAAACCCTGCTACTCACAGGAGAGATCAAGCTGGATTTCCTGGTTCTTGGCTTAAGAGGACCACACCTGGCCAGTGTAGTCATTAGGAAAGCTAACCAGCTGGTAGGTCTCTCTCTCTCTCTCCAATTTCATCTTTCAAATAAATAAATACATCGCTTAAAAAAAAAACTTGTAACTATAACATTAGGCAAATGCATAGTTCTTACCTTCTTTTTAAAATCACCCAAATTTCTTCTTTATTTTTTTCTTGGTCAATATCACAATTAGCCACATTTTTAGGAGCTTTTTCTGTTCATTATTTAGGAGAAGCCTCTTGATGCAGTTCCTATTAGGCCCCAACTGATTTCTGCTGATGTGTTCTAACAGCAGATAAATCATAGGAGTTACTTCTTTGGTGCTTTTTCATTATTTTGAATTTGCATGCATGTTGATAAATTCTAACTTTAAAGCAACAGATCAATTCAAAATAGTGTTGATATTTGTCCAGAAAATTGGTGTACACAAATGCAAGTAATACTAGAAAATGCTGATGTTATTATGGTGAGGTAAATAGTATCTCAAATATTTCTATCAGAACAGTGTACCAAAAGTGCTAACTCCAACATGATGTAGAGAGCAGAATATGAGGAACCATTTAACTATCGCAAACTTCAGTACTCTGCATGTAAGAAATGAGAAGTGATAGTAGGCTTTTAACAGAACAACACTGGGTGATCTTTTTACGATTTATTTATGTATCAGAGGAGAGTTACAGAGTGTGCAAGCTTTTACTGGATTGTTCCCCAAATACCTGGATTTCAGCAGTTGCCTCCAGTGGTAGGAATCTGGAGTGCCATGCAGGTCTCCCTGCAAGGACTTGAGTAGTTGAACTTTGATCTGTTGCCACCAAGACCTGTTAGCAAGAGGCTGGAGCACAGCCAGGACCTAACCCTAGGCCTACTGGCACAGGATGTGCCTGTTCCAAGGGTCGCACCTGTCCTGAGATTTCTGTGCTTTTCATATGTGATCTCATTTCCCAATTATGGGCCTTTGGTAAATGCTCAGTAGTGGGGATAAAAATGACAATTAATCAAAGGAGGAGCCAGCATTGTGGAGTAGCAGATAAAGTCTACCCCTGTGACACTGGCGTCTCAAGGGGGGCTGATACATGTCCCTGGTGCTCCACTTCGAATCCCGCTTTGTGCCTGAAAATAGAAGTTGCTAACTCCTAACTTCACCTTGGCCCAGCTCTAGTCGTTACAGACATCTGGGGAGTGAACCAGTTGATGATAGATCTCTCTTTGTCCCTTTCTCTATGACTCTGACTTTTAAATAAATAAATGTTGAAAAAAAAAAAAAACCCTGAAGAAGAAAGGCAAAGCCAGTCTATTTGGAGCTTGCTGTCACAAGGAATAAGCACCACTGTCATTTAGGTGCTGGAGAGACTGCAAGTGAGGCAGGATGGACAGGTAGGCTGTCCAGGAAACAAGAGAAGACTTCAAGTATGCTGTGATACGAGCCCTTGTCTGGGGGAAGCAGCAGGCAGGCTGACTAGAACTAGTTTTACTGATTTTTAGAGAAACATATGTGACTTTATGTAGGGGTCCTAGGTTGAAAGCAAGTACAAACAGTAAGGAACTGTCACTCATCAGTCAAGCTCAGGCCACATATGGCTGATGTTTATGCAAGCAATTGTTTAGCATCCTGGATTGTTACTGCAAATCGCAGTGTGACTGTAAATCTGGCTTCC